CCGCACCTCCCAGTGTCCTCAGTGCCCATTGGCCGGCGCCGGCCCCACCCACGCCCGCACTCGCTCACTTTATTGGTCCGTTTGAATCCGGCAGCAGTGATGCGAGCTCCGCGCTCTCCTGAGGCGGCGGCTGCCGGGCACAACCGGCGCCATGGGCCGGGCCCGACCCGGGCGCGGGAAAAGCGGACCGCGATGGGAAAAAGGCCGAGGGCGCCTCTGGTGGCGCTGTCCTGGCTCCCGCAGCCTGGTGCGCCCACGCTCGATTACCACCGAGGCGCGCCGGCGAAGGAGACCTCCACGCCCGCCCGCATCCGCCATAGCCCCGGTGAGGGTGTTAGGCGGCTGCGGGGCCCGCTGCGCCCGGAGCAGCGCTCGGCACTGGTGCCGCTGGCATCCTGAAGCAGCCGTGCTAGGCCACCGAGTCCGTAGCCTTTTACAAAGGACTAAAGCAGCTCTGAGCTGGCTGCACTCAGCTCTGGGGAATATCCCATTGGAGGGCAAAGGCCCCTCTGTTCTTTAATATTTTCAATATGATTAGTAAGGTTTCAAGCAGTAACTGTGTGTGTTAGTGTAGTGCATGATGTTTTTCCTCCTTTGTTTCTTCTCTTCAGCTGAAGCAAGCAAAGGAAAAATTCTTAGGGGCAATCAGATAAGGGACAGGAGAGTGCCACCACCACAACTGCAGTTAATCTTACCATGCCATCTCTCCCCACTACACGGTGTAAGCATCATCTATTTTTTAAGAGAGGTGATTATATTTTTCATTACATCAGTGAAATAACTTATGCACTGTGCCTCAACTGTGAAATGAGGACTAAAGCTAAAATGTTTTAAATGTTTTTAGTACTTCTTTCATCAGAAAGGAACAGAATGGGGTACAAGATTAGCACCAGTACCGCAGTGTCGGTTATTGCTGAATGCTTCATTTGCTATTTAGCCTTTTATGCCATTTAAAATCTCAGTTATAAAATAATGTAACTGAATCTTGAACAAAACCTCATGCAGATAAAAAACCCCAGCTCTTCAGAGCTTTATTTTCTACTGGGCAGAGGCTTGAGACCGCTACAGTCCTAATACTTTACAAAGAGGAACACCCTCTTCTGCTGCTGCAATGTTAGAATGGTAACAAAAGGGCGGGAGGGGGGAAAAAAGCAAGGTGGGAGTCAGGGTGAGAGGTGTGTGCACAGGAATTTGCAAAAGTGCAGGGGTGTAGCTATTTGGCCCTTGATTCAAAGCTGTGGTGGCAGAACGTGTGTTACAATCGGATTATCAAAAGAACCTGAATCCATTCCTACCTTCTTGCTCCTCTAAAATGAAGCAAAGTTGAGGTTCTGTGCAAATAGGTCTGGGAGCTCTTCTTTCAAAGGAGAGTCGAAATAACATGCATGATTCAACCAAAAGCCAGGCAGAGTGGTTAAGAAAAGCTAAATTTATATTAAATTATCATCAACCCCTAAAATACTGAACACAGTGGTTAAATAACTCCAGAAAGTCCAATGTCTGCAGTGAGTAACGTTAAAACCATTACACAGGAACACACAGAAATCACTGACGTTAGCTCAGGACAGACAGGAAATAGGTTTGCTTTTTACATAGTAAGTCAGTGCTCAAGAGATCATCTTCCAGTGGCCTTTCTACATTCTTAACATCCCAAGTGCAATGAGGGTCTTCTCTTCCCAGAATGAGGAACCATGATGCACCCACCAGGCAGCATCTCACTGGGGTTGTCTCTAGGAAAAAGAAACTAATTTCTGCCCACCTCGCTGGTAGAGGAAAGGCTGTGGGACATTATGTTGCTCCTTTTGCCATAATCATTTAAGGAAGGGAGCAGAGAGCAGTTATGAATAGTTGTTAGGCTGGAATGTGCAGGGCCCCTCCTAAGAAGCAGCAGAGAATATTAATCAAGTTGGAGAACACAAGCACCATGAGTTGTTGAAAAAAAGACTGACTGGGTTTCCTTTCTGTTCTGCACTTGTGACTCAGCGATTACTCTGACGGGCCGACTGAACCTCAAGTGACAGGTCTGGGCAGATGTTTCCCTTCACCCCCGTCCCACCTCAGGATTTTGGTGCACATTCACAAACTGTTGTGAAAAACCAACAAACCAAAACCCAAAGAAACCTTGCTCTCCTAGAAGTTGGAGCTTCCTCCCCTATCCACCCGCTCACTCCCAGCTCTGATGTCCCCACCCCTACACGTGGTTTCTGTTCAAATCTGTTTTTCTGCCTATGCTTGAGCCCTCTGGTGTTTTTCCTGCATGAGGCAGCTTAGACAGGCAAGGTTCATGTCAGTGATGTGCACTCCTTTCTCAGTTCCCAGTGGAGTCCATGCCTCAATCCAAAAGTGCCTCTGCCCAACAAAAACAATGCTTCCCAGGCTGGAGTTAATCAAATAAATAATTAAATAAAAATCTAATTAAAAAAAAATCCTTCTGGGAGAAGGGAAGAGTCCCACATTAACACGCAGAAATTTCCACACCTTAGCTCAGTTCATTTTCCACAGGAATACAGACCAGTCAGCCCAATGGTGCAGGTACAAACAGAGTTTTCAAGCCACTTAGCCAAGTCAAGGCTGCAACCTCCCCCTTTCTGCAAAGCTACCTCTGCTGTAAAAAGTACAGCCAACTGGCTGGCATTGGTTGTGTTTTTCAGGGGCAGCAGGACAGTTAGTGTATGAAAAGGCTAGAGCAGACTAGGATGGAGTTTCCTTTTTTTTTTTTTTTTACTAGCTGGAACAACATCGCACAGGAGGTACATCCTCCCCACACCTCTACGCCATACCCCTAGTGTATGCTTTGCTCTCTTTACACCACAGGTGGGAATGTACTTGACCTCTTCCCAGGACATAAGGAGGTTACAGAGTTTGCTGTGAGAAATTCCTCACTGGGAAGTTCTGCTTCCAAGTATCTGGCTTAACACTTCATATTTTACCATGACAGCATCCATATAACTCGAGGGGTTAATGTAAATCTCATTTTTGAAGAAGCATCAAGAGGTATTTTCTCTCTTTTTTCCCCTCTGAACAGACAAGAGAAATCAAGAGAATATGAAAAGGTGGCAGTAGCCCATGGGAGCATGCAAGCCCCTGCTCCCGATGCTGCTGGGGTGTAAACTGCAGGGGTAGGGTTACACTCCCTAGAAGATAAAGGCCTTGGAGGCCAGAGAACAACTGAGGCTCATACAGCTGATAGGAAAAATTACTTTGCAAGGAGAGCTATTTAGTGGTAACAGAAGAGCTTAAAGTGCAATTCTATCTGATAAACAACTATTTAATATGGCCCTTAGAGCTCCCTGATTATTGTCTCCTATTCTAGGGCAAACGGGCTCAGCCTAGTAATAAAGCAGTTCCTAGCTGTCAGCACTGAGTATTCCCCTGGGAAAGACAACCTAGGAATTCTCTCTTCTCCTTCATTACGGTAATCAAAGGCCCTAAAGGCCAAGAGAACTGGGACCTTGCAGAATTAGGACTGGTGGGGACTTAGCAAATTTTCTTTTTCTTTTTTTTTCCTTTTTTTTTTAGATATATCAGTTATGCAAAGACAGGAGTAGAATTTAGGTCTTGCTGGGATCCATTTCTTCCCATTAGCTCTGTAGAGCTAAGAGCAATATCAGCCTCTTCTTTCCTCAAGTACAGCAATCTGACTCCAGTACCCACAGACAGCAGTTCTGAAAGGGCCATTTACTGACTCTTGTTTTTGCAGAGTAGAAACGTGTTTTAACAGGAAAGGGGAGAACAGGAGCAGTGTCCACTGCCAGCAACAGACACAGTGCTCCAATCTGAGCATTCCTTAAAGTTTTTCACTAGCATGTGGGAAACTAAGCAGAGATGCTTTTAAGAAGTGAGTCACAGCAACTGTGGTTACCCTCTTTATGCCCCTAAAAGGTGACTTGATGCCATGTCAGTGTCCCCTTGAGCCTCAAAGTATACCCCATCTATTCCAAGACCTCTCTGAAGTCAGAGACCCCTCCACACAAAGCCTCAAAGAGTGCTCCTAGTGCTGGAATGACATGGGGAACTTCTGTGACCAGGAGCTAGCAACGAGGCTGCTCTGCTCTCTTCATGGGCATCAACCGTGAGCTGGATGGCACAGGGCTTGCAGGTTGCCGAAGAACACAGAATCTGAACCAGATTCAGACCAGAGGAGTCACTGCAAAAGTTAACGTGGCAGCTTCCAGGAAAGGGGAACATATAAATAAACCACAGACAGTGAAAATGAGCCAAAAGGGTCTCTGGGTTCCAACCCACCCACCCTCCCTCTCCAACCACAACAGCACAGTTGCCCAAGCTCCTTGCTGAAAGGCCAGTCACAGTTTCTGGGCCCCTTGCAAGAGAGGCTGGTCTCTGTGCCTCTCCTTGTCTGGCAGGCAGAGTCCTGTCTTTTTTTGTGCAGAGCAGAGGCTAGGGAGGGTACGAGCATTTCCAAAGCTGTGTATACTTTAGACCTCGCTCTCCGTGGAGGGCTTGCGTTGGTGTTTCCAGCCTGTGTCTAGGAGTGAGCCACGCCGTTCAGGAGTAGCTGCTGCTGTGTTAACACTGCTGCATTCAGACTGCTCTTCCTGTAGCAGCTGCTCAGTTTCGGTGTCATCCAGTGAACCAGAACTCGCCTGGATAGAGACCGTGTCTGTCTTCATGCAGACGTGGTCCCGGAGAATCCCTCCTCGGGAGCTCCGAATCTGCTTAAGGTCATCCCACTCGGAATCATCACTGGATAAAAGGCATATCCCCTCCACAATCTTGATCTTCTCCTTGGTGTAGCTGTGGTCAGGACCAGTCTAGGGAACAGACAGATGAATGAAAAAAACCAATACATCTATACAAAAATATGGCAAAGAGCAAAGCAGAGATGGAATGTAGACAGTGAAGCAGACAAAAGGCTGGACCTCCGTGTAAACGGTCACTGACTTTGATTGTCACAATGGCAGAACCCATTCTAAGTTTCCCTTCAGTTCTTCACCACTCCCAGATGAATCTTCCCTACAAGAGCTCTTATTCCAAATTCCAGGAGCCTTCAAATGATGGAAGGGGAATGAGGATGAGCTGGCTCTTCTAATTTAACTATATATATTGCCTGGCAGCAGGGAGTAAGAAAAACACTTAGCCTAGAAAGGAAGGAAAAAACCAAACCAAAACAACAAAATGGGAAGCGGGAACAGCCAGAAGACTTCATGGCAAAAGTAGGCAGGGAATAAATTCTAGGTCCGCGATATCTTTATATCCAAATTATTCTAGATTCGCCTCTCAGGAAAGCACAGTTGGAATACCACTGTTAAGTCAAAGCCTCACAGAGATACAGGGCAAGGAGAATATAGGGCAACAATGGAAATGATCGGAGGCTAAATGGACCACACTGAGCTTACAGTAGGGATATCTAACTTGGCTCACTCACAAATAAGGAGCACTAGGACATCCAATCTATCCCAGAGGAGACAGTGGGGGGTGGGGAAATCTACATCTGGGTATATCTAGGAGCAGCAGAATTAAGAGAAAAGTGGAAAAGATTTAGATTCCCAGAGAAATAATCCTGGCTTATCCTTAGTAGATAAGGCTAAAATGGCAAGAAAGTTTGAGAAATCTCTTGGATAGTATCTTCGAAAAACAAAGCCAGGGAAAACTCTCCTCTGCCTGTGATCTCTACTAGAGGAACTAAGCAGTGTAGCACATATCATAAATAGTCCTACAGAAAGTATCTTTTTCAAATCTCACATACTGAGTATGAGCAGCCAAAGCTAAGGCCAAAGGATCTGTCACAGAAAATTACCTATACCTTCTTGACAGACAGTGGAGCTGGTTTAAGAGCATAAAAGCAGGGGGGGGGAGAAGCAAAACAAGAAAGAGCAATTAGTATGGGACAGTGTTTGAGCCACACAACAGAGCTTGAGTAAGGGAGGCAGGATCAAACACATACATAGAATAGTGATACCTGACGTGAGGATGTGGACGGAAATCAGAAGAGGGAAGATGAGAAGCTATCTGAGTGATAAGAAAGCTTCTGAGGAGAAAACAAAGGAGAAACTAAGTGCTGCAAGATATCATATTAAACACTCTACATCCTGTGATATACACAGCAGACCTCTGCAGGACCTTTAAAATGCTCCATGTAATAAGGGCTCCACTTCTCTCCCTAACCCACCCCTTGCAGGCAGTGCACAACCATAAGCCACATCCTTGTGACCAAACCCCTTCTGGCTGTCTGGTTCCCCTGGTGACTGTACAAAGCAACCTTGGTGCAACTCAAACCCCTTCTGGCTGGCTGGTTCCTCTGGTGACTGTACAAAGCAACCTTGGTGCAACAGTCACTAACAGGGCTGTGTGCAGGGAAGACAATTCCTTTTGACTCCTGTGCTTCGAGGTCCAGCACCCACGTTGTGTGCAGGGAAGACAATTCCCTTTGACTCCTGTGCTTCGAGGTCCAGCACCCAATGCAAATGAAATACAAGACACTGTGGGAGCGGGGAAGAAGCAGAGAGCTAAAGACAGGTGCAATTTACTACAGCTCACTGTAGAAGAAGTGCTGCTGGTTGAGTCTAAGTAATTCACTGAAGCTGTCCTCCTACATCCTAGAAGTAAATGCTGCCAAGTTGCAACATTTTCACATACTAAGGCCTGTAATATTCAACAGCAGCTTGAGTTGAGCTCCTATGTCCTTAGTAGCAGCTCTTACCTCTTTCTTATAGCACAACTGGTTATACATAGTTGGTTTGGGAATTGCTTCAATCTTCACCTCCTGGGTAGATGTCCGATATGAGGGATTACTGTAGGTTAGGTTCCCCAAGCCAGGGTCCGTGAACTTGGACTTATTATGCCTAGAAGGAGAGTGCTGTCAGAAAAGACACAGGGTCCTGCTGCTAGGATCCAAATTTCTCAAGTGCTCAGCAAGTGGAAAGCTCCAGCAATTTTCACTGTCCCTCAGAGAGAGGGAGAATGCTGGCTTCACCTGGCTCTTCAGCAACCAGCATACTCACTAGCTACCGGTACAGCAAGGCACTACCACGTAACCACAAAAGCTATACTGGCAGTAACTGGTGAAGATATCTGGTTGAAAGCACATGAGGTCACACGTGTAGTGAGATATGAATTATCTTATATCCCTATCCATAACTCCTAAGCTCTCTGAAGAACATTTAGCCAATAAGGCTTCAAATAATAGAGTTGCATGCACAACACTTCAAAGACCTTGCAAATAAAATCATCAAACACTACTTCCAATGGAGAACAAAGGGACTGTAAATAACAATAACAAAAGAATAAGTACTTTCAGGAGCTTTCTTCTCCTACAACCCTAAATTTTACTACTGGCCAGGAGAGGGGGGAAAAGATCACTTACCTATATATAATTAAAGCAGCAATAAGCAGCAAAATAAACAAGGTGCTGAGAAGACCTCCAATAATGTAGCTGACATGCAGTCCTTCTCCTGAAAGTGAACAGCAAGGATAATTTATTCATTCTCCTTAACTTCCACTGGATAACACTGACCTTGGTGTAAACACCCAATACAGAGGTTTTACACCATACATAAGTATGTAAAGTAAAATGTCAGTACACCAAGGTTTAACAGAGGGTTTTGTTTGGCCAAACATATGATAACCCTTCCTTCCACTCAGGCTGCAGCAAACCAAGGAGCATCAAGATCTTTGTAATAGGTTTAGATGAGTCAGACCTCCCTGCTGACAGGTTACTCTTGCAGAGGGAAACAATTACCCTAGTCAGCCATCCTCAACCAAACACAACTGGAACAGTGAAGAAGAGTATATTTAATGGGAGGAGCCCAACAGATGAGGTATGAGATGAAAGAAAACAGAACTATTCTTCAGACCAAAGTGTCATTTGGAAAAGTTCCCATATAGGCTAATGAATGTGTATGACTGATGTTCATCCCTAGACATACTTTGCTCTGCTCAGAGGGCATTTGAGTACTTCAAGTCTGAGTTTCAGAAATTTGAGTTTCAAATACTATGGACTGGAATGCCCTGGGCACATCCAGAGTAAAAAAGAAAAATAACTCACCCATGGTTGCCAACACTGCCTCATTGGGATGGGTACACAAGCCTTGCCTAGCATCTTTGTCAGAGCAGCTGTATGACAGAAGGACAGTTAGTTACTGAAAGTAATATCAACAGCAACAAAGGTATCAAAAGACAGGGACAGGCTAGCATTGATATCCCTTCCATTTCCAGTTCATCAATAGGAGTCTTCCTTTCTCTTCTTCAGTATCCTTTTGTATTCAGACAAGACCATATACATTTATATGGGGGGTGTGTGTATATGTATCAATTATAGGTCTGCAATATCTTTATATCCAAGTCAGTCTAGATTCACCGTGCAGGTATATAGGTGCACACATATATCCATGTATCAGAATACAAATTTCAGCATCAGTGCTGAAGCAAAAATCAGAACATCCTAGAGTCAGCACAAAGATCTTTCTGTCCAATAGATCATACTCAACAAAGTGGAAGATTTGCCTTGTAAATAAGCCAGCCATATATTATAGATCATACTTTTTTTGCTGGGCAGTAGGACTAGCAGGCTGTAGGGAATTAGCAGAAAAAGTCTCTAAACTACCTGCACTGTAACTTAAATGTTAGAGCTGCAAAGGTTCTCTTCTGCCCCAAACAAGCTATCTCTTTGTGGCCAGGGCAGAACCAGTTCCTCAGATCTCTGGGTCAGGTCTGAGATGTCTCACTGAGTTAAAGCAAGAGACTCCCCTCTCCTCTCAGAAATAAGTTCTCAAAATTAGGAGTTCAGAAATCAATTGAATAATATGGTCTCAGTAGAACTAACATTTCACCACAGTCAGCCTACGCACACAGACAGAAAGATCTCTGCACTTCTTGCCAGCTCAAGTGTTCTGCGTTCTTTGTCTAAATGGTTTTCCCCCTTATGAACATGAATTCTGGAGCTGGAATAGCCTCTTTTGGCTAGGGAGAGGTACATTCGGATGATAACTACCAGAAGGGGTTTGCACGTTGCACCTTGCACAAGCTGTAACTTTCACACCCCAATTCCAAGAGAACAAGAACACTTACTTTCCTTCCACTGCTTCCAGAGATGTGAGAGGTTTGGTTGTTGAGGTACCTACTCTGCCAGGTGGTGTCTGACTTCTCTCACTTACACTGGTGGGTTCAGGACCAGGGGGCACTACACCAGGAACTAGAACAACAGAATAAAATAAGGAAGACCCCAAATCTGTGAGGCAGATGAACAGGTCTGGTAAACTAAAGTGTTTCCAAAATGGCCTATATGAGCAGCTGTCCCAACACAAACCCAGTCAGCAGAAAGGCCAGAAGGCAGCTGTTGCTCACAACTGCCTTACTTCCAGTATATGATTCTGCAGGAGTTTTTTATACACTGCAGAACTTCAGATGCTCTGGTTGCCACTGCCACTGCATAAGTAGTGGCAATGGCTTACTTATGGAAGCTACTACCCAAACGACACTCAGTGAACTCACCAGTAGAGCAGGGCCGCCCATCTGGTTCATCCGGACACGCGCAGATGAAGTCAGAAGCCCTGGCAAAGCAGAGGTGAGTGCAGCCTCCATTGTTCACTCCACAAGCATTAGTACCTGGAAGGAACAAGCAAGTTCCTAAACATATTGCAGATGACCCGGTAGGAACTCAGAGCAACCACCTTTTTTCTTGCTTAGCCAGCTATTTCCTAGAAATCCACCAAGTTACTATGCTCTGGCCATTGGATCCACCAATGGATGCTCTGGCATACCCCCTTCATCTGACTGCTAAGAAAGTGATGACAATAGCCAGACACTGGTAGGATTAGGCCAGTCTTGAAAGGAAGGCATTGGAAATCATTAGACAGGAGTCTTGTCAACACAGCTGCACAGCTTAAAAAAATTAAAAAAAACAACCAAAAAAACCAAGCTCACATTCTTCTGTTTTAAGGCTATGTCAGATGAACAATACAAAAAGTGACATTTGCTAATCAAAGCTGTAACAGAACACCGTTAAGATGTACTTGACGGAAATGTCACAAGCAGACAAGGAATGTGTCCAGGAAAGATGCATCAACATTTTTAGTACAAGAAAGGATGCCAGCCTCACTCAACATCTACAGTAGCACAGTGGTTCCAGAGTTCTTTTTGCCTCCAATTAGCATTTGCCTGAATCAAGGTCCTTTTATTTACCTGTCTGTCTCTGAGGGGAAACCACAATGATATCCATCAGTCCCTCGACATTGGCTAGGACTGTCTCTTTGTTCCTCCCAGAGTATTTGTCCACTCTCTGGATAGATTTGGTTTGCCAGTCAGTCCAGTATATCCACCTATCTTGCTGCTCAGAGAGCCAGCAAAGAGAAATCATAACCATTAGAATGCTTAGCCATGTAGACACAGGATACCCATAAAACACACATCCCAGTGGCAGAAGCCCCCAAAGGCCTTTTCAACCCCCTCTCCTCTTACCATAAAGAAGATAACTGTCTACACTCCACAGGACTTCAGTCAAACTTCCTTTGTTAGTTTCATGGAAGAGTTAAGTACTGCCCCCCCAGTCATCTTGGTTTCCCGAGACTATATTTCCCTGTCTTCGAGCTCCACTGTCCAAACTTATCAACACACCAGGGAGAAGGGTGGCAACAGGGAAATATTCTTACCTGTGTCAGTGCAAAGGGATGTGACACCTGGCTGACCAACACTTGCCGTAGCTTCCCATTGAGATCACAACTCTCTATGCGATCAAGATGCGCATCCACCCAATAAATCCTGGAGGAACAGGAAAAGAGGTGAGCTTCATCTATACAATCCCTCTGTACTAGCCAAGATGGATCAGACAAAAGAACCCCACCAAAACCCAGAACCCTACTTGAATAAACCAAGCTAAGGCAACTAAAAAATTTAATTACATCCCTTAACCCTATGCAAGTACAAGAAAATCTTTCACTGACCTCCTAGTGTCATAATCCAAAGTCAATCCATTGGGCCATCCTAGGTCAGTGTTAATAAGGATTTTACGTTCAGAGCCATCCAAGTTTGCTCGTTCAATTTTAGCAATATGACCCCAATCTGTCCAGAAGAGGTACCTGAAGAGATAAAAGGCAAGTGTAAGAAGAAAAGAACATTTCATTTAGCCTAAAGAAAGTTTTAGTTAAACTGCCAGATTCTTCAGGTTCAAAAAAGATCATGTGATCTGTAGCTCGCTTCTCCCAGCTATCGGCCCAACCTTCAAATTCACTGTCTGCCTGATTACATCTGTCACTCAGAGTCAGCTCCTTGCTGGCACCTGCAGATTCACACAGCACACCTCTTCTTCCTCCCACAACCTCCTCTTC